AGCTTGTGGAGGGAAGAGTTGGGAGTCCATCAGTTCCCCCACAGATGCCACTTTATGTACGTTGTGCCCATGCACAGCAATCAACATGAACTGATAATCCAGAACTCGCCCCTTTTTAATTTCAAAATGCTGGCCAGCTTTCCGAGTACATATACAGTGAGAGCGGAAGCTGTAAGGCTACAGGAGTGCAATTCCTGGAGTGGTGCAGTTTAATTTTTCTCCACACATGGTTGTCAATCACTCCAAACACAATTGCCATTTTGTCAAAATAAACTAGATTTACCATTTTCTAAATTTCAGAGGTAACTTTTCTCCCATCAGTAAAAGGTACACAGTCAAATGAAACATTACAACAACCACAACAAGATTTCACTTGTGTAGCGCCTTTTACGTCGGGAGGCCTTCCCAAAGCACTGGACAGAGTATAGCATTTCAGACCCGAGCTGGGGTTGGGGGGGAAGGGAGGGGAGGGGAAGGGGGGTGGCCGATGGCATGGTCGAAGAGGAGAGTCTTGAGGCGGGACTTGAAGGATGCGAGGCGGAGATTACAGGAGGAGATTGGTGTTTTAGTATTACCAACATTTTGTTCATGTAGACTGGAAATTGCTATTTGTTGGCTTCATGGAACAAGTGGCAAATTGTGGTTGCCAACCACAATGTTGAAAAAGCAATTAAGGCTTCATTTAATTGAAGCAGGAAGCCAACTGAGCCATGAAATAATGTAGTTTTACTCCTCTTATAATGTTTGTTTAGACTTTACCTGCCTCTACAGTTGTTATAGATGTGTTACGAAACTGAAAACAAAACGCTAAAAAAGATTGTTTTTAAATTTTGAAATTTACATTAAAAATTATGTACATATTCAACCCTCAAGGAAATGAAACAAGACACTGATGTACCCAATTGGGCTTGATCGCACATCCTTCTGATTCAGAGACAAGTGATACCAACTGTGCCAGGCCTGTTGGTAATAAGGCAGATTTACTACCCAACTGCTTCATTAATGGCCCTTACAATTGACAAATCTTCAGAACATTTGATGTTCTTGATGCTTGGAACATCTTGATGTTTGTATTTCTGTTGTCTTAAAGGTCCTTGGTTCCATTTTTCTTCATTTAGTTTCTTGGGACCAGCGCCTTGGAATGTCCTCCCGATGTGAAAGGCGCTATACAAATATAATTTTGTTGTTGTTGTTTCCTTAGAACAACTGATATAGTTCAATGTGAAACCTCTCTGCCGCACCATGTGGAACTCCATCCCAGTCCCTCCCCCTTGCCCTTGTCTCCTTCAAGATCCTCCTCTTCGACCATGCCTTTGGTCACCCTCTTACCCCTACCCTCGCTGCCCTCCACCCCTCCTGATCCCAACCACCAGCTCGGCTGCAGATCTCTGACTGTCCAGCGAATTGTGACGTCCTCTTGACATGAAAGGTGCTTTACAAATGTAGTTTGTTGTTGTTGAAACATTGTAGGCATACACCTGAAAACTGAGGTATGTTTTGTTGGTGTAGGAAGCAGAAATGAAAAATTAAGGAAATGATGTGCCTCTAAGATGTCAGGGATGGCGTTCCATGCAATCCCTCCATTCTATACCCTCAGCGAATGCAGCCAACCAGATAAACAGCAGTTCATTCAATTTGAAAGAAGAATAGTTGGAAATTTTCCCCTTGTAACCTAGGCACAGTGGGTTGAAAGATACTGAAAAGTGAGATTGATCCAATGAGATTTTTCTTATTCATATGCAGCTTTCACATCCCACTTGAGATGCATTAAATGGCATATCAACCATAATTGTCATCTTTCATATCCATTAACTCAAGAACAATAGACCTAATAAAGCTAATGCAGCTATAACTTGTTTACTGAGGTCTGTCCACATGCAGTGCTTTACCAAATGGTGGAAATGAAGGACTATTTCCACAAACCAATTGATACATTTTGTCTGGTGACTGAAATATTCTTTGTTCTTGGTCAAACTGTTTGGACTTTTAAAAACATTTGGTTCAATCAACAAATAACACTACTGCTTTGTTGGCATATAATGGTATCATTGTTCAGTGGTATCATTGTTCAGTGAGTTACTCACTACCCGCACGGAGGTGCTATGACCCTCTTCCTCCCAGAACCCTAACCATCTGAAAATTGGAAAAAGCATTCAATGGGCTTCATTCACTCAGTGCCCATAATACAGAGCCATAAAAGACCAAGATCAAAATTAAATTTGTGCCACATACACTTGGCAATTACTTCTGTGAAGATGGTGAGAAAGTAACCAAGATGTGTTTAAGATCCATCACCATTGCTGTCACGGGCTGACTTTTTGGCTCCATTGAATATTACAGCACCAAAGGAGGCCATTCAGCTCATCTGGCCTGTACCGGCACTTTGGGAGTTACCCAATCAGTCCCATTCCCCCACTCTTTCCCCATATCCTTGCAAATGTTTTCCTTTTCAAATACTTATCCAATTCCCTTTTGAAAGTTGTTATTGAATCTGTTTCTACCACCCTTTCAGACAGTGCATTCCAGATCTTAACAACCCTCTACGCGAAAAAAAATCCTCATCTCCCCTCTGGTTCTTTTGCCAATTATCTTGAATCTGTGTTCTCTGGTTACTGATCCACCTGCCCGTGGAAACAGTTTCTCCCTATCTACCCTATCAAACCCCTCATAATTTTGAACACCTCAATTAAATCTCCATTTAACCTTCTCTGCTCAAAGAAGAACAATCCCAGTTTCTCTCGTCTCTCCACATAACTAAAGTCCCTCATGCCTGGTACCATTCTGATAAATCTCCTCTGCATCCTCTCCAAGGCCTTGATATCCTTTCAAGTGTGGTGCCCAGAATTGGACACAATATTCCAACTGAGGCCCAACCAGTAAGTTATAATGGTTTAGTAGAACTTCCTTGCTTTTGTACTCTATCCCTCTATTTATAAAGCCAAGCATCCCACATGCTTTTTTTTAGCAGCTCTATCAGCCTGTCCTGCCACCTTCAAAAACCTGTGTATGTGACCCCTAGGTCTCTCTGCTCCTGAACTTCCTTTAAAACTGTACTGATTTCCATGTGCATGTTTCCAGTTCAGATGTTCCCAGCAAATACAACCACATTTGACTCACTATGAACCCTTCCTCCAAACATTCTTTAAAGAGATACTTGCGACACTTGCTTTGCATTAATTATTGCAAAGAATTACTTTATCCCCTTTAAAGTATAATATGAATGTTTTATAAATGTATTCTTTGAATGCATTCCAGCTTGACTTATTCACAGGAGGTGAGTTGATGTATGTTTGCAATGACATTCATCCCTTGGTACTCGCACCAAACAATAGATTAGAAAAGTTATTTTGCTCTACCCATTTGTTCATTGCCTATCAGAATAACTACATAGTAACATAAACCTAGAATGCAGTCACCAAAATTTAACTTTCAGCGCTACTAGGCAACAAATATTATGAATTCTGCATCCTCAGCAAGAGGGCAGAAACAGATGAGCCGGAGGCTTGCCGTTGTGTGATATATATTTTTTGCATGTGATATACAACAACAAATTGCAAAAGCCATTGGACAGTTTGAGGGTTTGCACCTGAGCTGGGGGTTGGAACCAAGATGGATGGAGGGTGGGGGGGAGGGGTGGGGGGGGGGGTGAAGATGACCGATGGCACGATGAAAACCAACTCGTTCCACAATCTTGAAAAGAAGAGGAAGGCTGTAGTTGGGACTTGAATTAGATAAAGCATTGTAACACATTTTTGAAACGTTTTTCCACAGGGTTTAATGTAATGTGTAGTGACTATTTATAGATGAATACAGCAGCCAATTTATGCATAGCCACATCCCACAAACAGCAGCGAGGTGAATGACCAATTTATCTGAGGGATTTTTGGCCAGGACAATAGTGCCATGGATTGTTTAATGTTCACCTGAATATTCATCTGGGACCTTGGTTTTAACATCTCATCCAAAGGATAGCACTTCTGACAACGCAGTATTCCTCCCGAACTGTCAGCCTAAACTATGAGTCTCAAAGTTTCAAAGTGGGGTTTGTACACACAACATTCCAACACAAAGGTGAGATTGCTGCCACCTGAGCCAAGCTGACACCTGTTGGCAGGAATGAGATGTATGTGCATCCTGAGGTGTATGGAGGTTAAAAGGAATTTGGACTGATCAAATGCTAGGATTTAATATGTGGCAATTTCTAACTGGTCCATTAAAGAGTTAAACCGGAATGATATCATGCCAATTTATGGAAATTACATTCCAATCAATCTTCTTAGGTTGGTGAAAAAACTGCTGTTTCCCAGAAGTGATATATCGCTGTAGCAAGTTTTTGAAACCTGGATTGCTTATTAAAATTACAAAGCATTTTAGACCCTATACACAGCAGGAATGGATAGAAAGACAATAAACAAGAGACCAAAGACCTTGATCTCCCTTGTCCAAATTCTATTTCACAATTAGGATAACAAATTCCACAGTTGAAACATACTTTTTACTTTACAAATGTTCGACAAGTCATATTCTTAGATGTATATAGGAATTTAAAAAAACATATTCATTTGAATTTTGCCTGAATTCAATAAAGTTAGAGAACTAATAACCAATGAATGGCAGAAACAGAGTAATAGAAGGGAGTTTCTCCTGATGTCCTGGCGAAGTATCCTATGAATAATCTTTGTCATTCACTTAATGGTATTTGTGGGCCTATTGCTGTGAGGTATTAACTGCCACATTAGACAAATACACAGTCACTACAGTAAAAATACTGTGAAGTGCTTTGAGACATGGATGAAGACAAGATACTGTACTATATGAAATGCAAGGATTATTATAACAGTGTCTGTTGGACTGATCATTTAAAAGGGCTTCATTTACTCTGATACAAATTCATTCCCCATAGAATTACAGTAACAACTCAATAAGCCTTTATTGCTCTGTTTGCCATCTTCCTAATAGAAACAACTCTTGGAAGATACATTTTGTAATTTTTTCTATACCTGATGCTGATGCATTGATGAATCCGGCAGAAAGTCTCAAAGATGAAGAGACGAGCATTCTCAATGAAGTCCTCGAGGCAAGCCACCAAGAAAAAATCATTCACGAGCACCTACAAGAAATATATTATTAGGAAAGGTGTGAAACAACAACAACAAAATTACATTTGTACAGCGCCTTACAAGTTGAGAGGCCGTCCCAAGGGAAGGCCTTGAGATGTGTTTTGAAGGAGGCAAGGGAGGCAGAGGGACTGCAGGACGGAGTTCCAGAGGGTGGGGACAGAGTGGCAAAAGGCCTGCCCACCAATGGTGGGCCGGGCGAAGTGGGAGACGTGAAGCAGGCCGGAGCCCGCTGAGCGGAGGGAGCCAGCAGGTTGGTAGGGAGTTAGAAGGTCGCAGAGGTAGGGGGGAGCAAGGCCATGGAGGGCTCTGAAGGTGAGGACCAGAATGTTGAACTGTATCCTCTGTGTGATCGGAAGCCAGTGGAATCGGGTATGGGTGATAGGGTCCCAGAGCCTGGTGAAGGAGAGGGCACAGGCTGCAGAGTTCTGGATAATCTGGAGCCTATGGAGGGAGGAGTTGGGGAGGCCAACAAGCAGGGAGTTTGTGTAGTTAGCCTGGATGTTATAAATGCTTGTATGAGGTTCTCGGCAGCCTGCAGTGTCAGATAGAGGTGGAGTCGGGCGATGTTGCGGAGGTGAGGGAAGGCAGAGGGGATATGGCACAGATGTGGGGTAGAAAGGATAGGTGAGGGTCAAACAAGATGCCGTTTCCGAACTGGCTTAGTAAAGTGGAGTGTGCAACTATGGATGGTGACGCTGTCAGTGCCTGAGATGAGGAGACGCTGACGGGAGCCAATCAGGAGGGCATCGGTCTTGTTGACCTTCAACGTTAGAAAGTTAGCTCTCATCCAGGATAGCAGGATAGCAATGTCAGGATAGCAATGATCCTGGAGTCGAGGGTGGAGGCAGAGAGATAGAGTTGGATGTCATCTGCATACATGTTCAAATTGACCCCACTATTTGCGGATGATGTCACCAAGAGGGAGCATATAGATATTGAAAAGGAGGGGACCAAGGACAGAGCCCTGAGGAACTCCGCACGAGACGATGCGGGGGCTAGAGAAGAATCTGTTTGTGGAAATGAAGTGGAGAAGCTGTGAGAGGTAGGATCTGAACCAGTCAAGGATAGAATCATGAAGGTTAAGGTGAGAGGAGAGGCGGCGGAGGATAGAGTTGTCAATGGTATTGAAGGCAGCAGAGAGGTCAAGGAGGACGAGGAGGCAGATGGACAAAATGTAATTTGTCACTTTGACCAAAGCTGTTTCTGTGCTGTGGGCGGCATGGAAACCTGATTGGAGGGGGGGGGAGAGGAAGGAGCGAAGCTGGGAAGCAACGACTCGATCCAGATGTTTGGAAAGGAAAGTTGGAGATGGCGCGATAATTTGATAGCAGGGATGAGTTCAGTGAGGGTTTTTTAAGAATAGGAGTGATGACGGCTGTGAAAGTAAAATGATCAAGTATTAAACAATTAACCAAGGGGCATAAATCAACTGGAATGCATTCAAAGAATATATTCATAAAACAAAATTGTTCATACTATACTTTAAAGAGGATAAAGTAATTCTTTGCAATAACTAAATACAAAAAAAGGATCGCAGACATCTTGTTGAAGAATGTCTGGAGAAAGGGTTCATAATGAGTCAATGTATTCATATTTGCTGGAACACCTGACTGTGACGCAGAAAATCGGTAAACAGGTTTTCTGACAGTTAGAAAAGGGAATACAAGAGCGGAGCTCGGCCCCGAAGAAGTCTTTTTTTACGTTGTGTACAACAGGAGAAACAAACAAGGGGAGGATACCTCAACACAAAAGACCAGTGGATGCACAGCAGCAAGGTAGCAAGCATTCAACAAGCTTGGCTAATCTTGAAACTGAATACTGACATCAAGTTAAATAATGATAGCCGCCAAACAAAGCGACACAGGCTTAGTACAAACGCCAAGCTAGTTTATTATACAGCAGCCATAGTATACACTAATACAACATTATGAATAGTCAGTTTAACAATCAGGTATACTTTATTTTTAAATAATTTGTTGAGAATATTAATTTCAATATCGCTATGTATAACAAAAAAACAATGTATATGAGAAGCAAAATATTCCCTGGATATACACTACAAACTATTTAATTCCTTTGTATGTTCACCACACAATTGGCAACCCAGTGATGCCAAATCCTCCTCTCTGCCTGCAACAACATATATTCATGCATGAACAAAACAAATGATGATTTACCTTTCCTGGCAAAATCATGATCTTAAATGCTATGGTTTGACTATCCAGAAATTGGCTGTGCTGAGTATTTTATACATCAACCATAGAACAAACTATAAGATGTGAGGTAGCTGTCATTGATACAAAACTAGTCTGAGACAGGACAATTCAATAAATAAAAGTCTAATAAGCTCAAGATCCAAATTTTAAGGGTTTGTTCAAGTGCTTTCATAAATAATGCATGCTTACTCATCATGAGCATTAATTTTTTGGCAACAAACTAAAGATAAGTGAAAACACGAATTTCCTCCAAATGAATAGAACTTTTGATATGAATTAAACCATATCTATGAATACCACCAGCCCACATAAAGGAGCAGAGACGTGAATCAAGCTCCAAATTATACAGTGACCATTAGACATCTGCAGCATTGAACTTTAGAAATTTGCTTACAAACACCCAAAGAATTTGAAAAACACATCAATCTACCTGATTCACAAGGTTCCTTCAGTTTTTTTTAAAATGGGAAAAATCATGAAAGTATTACTTTTTTCTGCTTTTATCTTTTGCCAGCACAATAATTAGTTACTTTCATAATTTAAATCAGATGAATTCAGCAAAAGCTGAAGCTTCAATTATGTTGAATTAAAATAAAAAAGCATCAATCACTTTCTTGCCTTTGCCTACATTCCATAGTTACTTTTTCTCCCAGACTATGCATTTAAGAATATTCAATGGACTGTTCTGGAGTAGAACAAAATAACCACATTGCCCACAATAGTGAAGACTATTCTTAGTCTGGAAACAGTAGTATTTTTCTTATATCTTAATAACAGATCAGGTTCTTTACCCTCATTTGTGTTTATGGTCATCATCCATGAATGACATTTATGACTTCATCTGGCATGGAGTGATGATGTTTTGTTCTTTTAAGTTAAAAAAACGGTCTTTCTGTGCTTGCCTTCAAAAATCAAAACTAAAATGAGCTGATAATAGAGACTCCCTGTCTCATATTCCCCCTCAACCTTCCCCTGAAGATTCCATAAGCATTGATAGTTCTGTTAAGCCAATTGTCCATCTTGATGAGTTTTTCTGCATCATATATCAGTTTGGTTCAGTCGGTAGCACTCTTGCCTCTGAATCAGAAGGCTGTGGGTTCAAGCACCACATCGGGACTTAAGACTCACCAAGTCCAGGCTGACACTCCAATGGAGTGCTGGGGATGTACTGTATTGTCAGAGGTGCTTCCTTTTGTTGAGATGTTAAACAGAAGTCCCATTTGTCTGTTCAGGTGGATGTTAAATAATCCATGGAAGTTTCTCCCGGTATCCTGATCAACAATCCCCCGAAGAAAATTGTTTATTTGTTTCATGGCCATTCGTGGGACATTGCTGCGTGCAACTGGCTGCCTCATTAAATCTGCATTTGAGTGTATCATGTGTAGCGCTTTGAGGCGCCTCGATGACATGCTAAGGCACTATATCAAATGCAAGGGTTATTATTATTAACATAACAATGCATTTGTTATTCCACAACGAAGCAAGTCTTGTCCTCCTTCAACCAACAACAATGCATTTTCCTGTGAGTATCACTGGAAAATAATTTGGAGGACCCCTGACTATCCTTTTCCTCCCTCGCTGAGGCCAATTTTTGCATCCCATTTTCATCCCGAGAACAACTATCGATCACCTGTTTATGGTACACTGCTGTGTACAAATTAGCTGCTCTGTTCTCCACAAAATCACTATTCTTTATGGAATATCTTATGAAGTGTTTTGGGATGTCCTCCCAGCGTGAACAGCAATCTATCAAATACAAGAATTACCACGACCATTCTGGAATTTCCCAGATTTTTGGGTCAGGCATTGGTTAGCACTGGAAGCCAGCTGGTTCATTCTAGAACCATATCACATTTCCAATAACCACAGGTCTACGTTAAAACCAGACCCACACTTTAGTGAGGAGCTTAATAATGGACCTGCCCTGTATTTTGTAAAACTTCAATGAAGAGCAAGCACAGTAAGATGATGTCTGATAACCCACTGTGACTGTTAAAAGCAGCTTTGCGGAAAAGAGGTAATATACAGCTCCTGAGGCCATGGCCATTGCATAAAAGCCAAGCACAAGACAACAGTGGTCCTTTATGTTCCTCTTATATTCAGCCTTCGGTAGCACTGTGAGTAAAGCTCAAGTTGCAGTGCTGAGTACTGCACATACTGCAGCTGCAAACGTTGCATTTAAAAATCTTAGGAGTTATGTTACATAAATGGTTACCAAGTTGAGACAACCCAAGAGTGGCCTGGCAGCCAATAAGGTCAGTCACAGGAAATTTAAAATAAATGATTACTTTTTGCAGTCATGAGGAAGTCTGCAACATAAGGTGGATCAGTGACCTTAACTTTGTATCCTTCACGAACACTTCGGTACATTTCTATAATTAACAATCAAGTGTTCCATCAGTCTTATGCACAATTTTAAATTGTAAAACTGCTTTTCTTTAGATGTCAGCCTGACTCAATTGGTAGCATTCATGCCTCCAAGATGGATCAAGCTTTCCATCAGGATTTTGAATACAGTCAAGACAGACACTCCAACATAATGCATAGGGTGTGCTGCATTGTTGGAGATGGCTGCCTTTGGATGAGACATTGAACCAAGGTCATGTTTGCTTGTTCAAGTTGACAGAAAAGATCCCATGGCACTATTCAACAAGAGAAGGGAGTTTCTTCAGGTATCCTGGCCCAACAATCTGCTGGATAAAATTGGTCACTCACTTCACTGCTGTTGATGGGAGCCAGCTATGAGTAAATGGGCTGACACATTTGCCTATAAA